CCTCCAGCCCCCGGCCTCTGCTCCCTCTAGGCCCCGGCCTCTGCTCACTCTAGGCCCCGGCCTCTGCTCACTCTAGCCCCCGGCCTCTGCTCACTCTAGGCCCCCGCCTCTGCTCACTCTAGGCCGCCGCCGCTCACTCTAGTCCCCGGCCTCTGCTCACTCTAGACCCCGGCCTCTGCTCACTCTAGGCCCCGGCCTCTGCTCACTCTAGCCCCCGGCCCGCTCTGACTCGCGGCGCCCACCGCACCTCTCTGCTCACTCTAGCCCCCGGCCTCTGCTCACTCTAGGCCCCGGCCTCTGCTCACTCTAGCCCCCGGCCTCTGCTCACTCTAGGCCCCGGCCTCTGCTCACTCTAGCCCCCGGCCTCTGCTCACTCTAGGCCCCGGCCTCTGCTCACTCTAGCCCCCGGCCTCTGCTCACTCTAGGCCCCGGCCTCTGCTCACTCTAGCCCCCGGCCTCTGCTCACTCTAGGCCCCGGCCTCTGCGCACTCTAGTCCCCGGCCTCTGCTCACTCTAGGCCCCGGCCTCTGCTCACTCTAGTCCCCGGCCTCTGCTCACTCTAGGCCCCCACCTCTGCTCACTCTAGCCCCGGCCTCTGCTCACTCTAGGCCCCCGCCTCTGCTCACTCTAGGCCGCCGCCACTCACTCTAGTCCCCGGCCTCTGCTCACTCTAGGCCCCGGCCTCTGCTCACTCTAGCCCCCGGCCTCTGCTCACTCTAGGCCCCGGCCTCTGCTCACTCTAGGCCCCGGCCTCTGCTCACTCTAGCCCCCGGCCTCTGCTCACTCTAGGCCGCCGTGTGCCAATCACAGCACACCTGGCTTTTCAGCCCGATGAGCTTTGTAAAAATCGACGCGTTTCAGAAAGGCGGGGCATAGAGGAGAAACAATAATGTACAGTATGTGGAAAATAATGTTTTTTTAACCTTAAACCGCATAAACACATTTCATTACACCAAATACACAAAATAATGTTATTTTTAGCAGCATCATATGACCCCTTTAAAAACATCTAGTCATTTCTAGCATCCTTTGACGGTGACAAGTCCAATTTCAGTTCCTTAAACCATAATATACCCCTTTTTTAATATATCAAGGAATATATACTAGTTTGAAACAACAAGTAAGTAAAAGATGAGAGAATTCTCCTTTTTGGATGAACTAGCCGAGTCTCCCCACAAATGTAATCCAGTATCATTAACTTTTATTTTGAAATCCCAGTCAGTGGCACCGGAAGTGAGTTCCAGATTATGATCACACTCTCACACAGGCGCAGTTATCGCAATGAATGATGTTGGTGGGTCTCCGAGATAAATCGTAAATGTAAGCATTACAGTACGTTCATTATTTAGCCCTCAGTTTATAACCCACAGTCAGTGCCATTACTGTTAGTATTTATGATGATACGTTTTATTAATTTGTTTAATACAGAGTTTAAAGCATCGTGTCACCATGTGTCTGTCAGACTTCAGTTGCGGTTTAACAGGTCAGCTGGTCATTCCTCTACTGATAGATGGATGTGCATGTTATGATGCTTAATTCAACGTCTAGATATAACAAATGTAAATGTGTGTTTCTTTTAGGTTGAATTGGTGAAGTGGAGAATGGGCTGTAGTTGAGGTCCAGAGGGACTATGGCATCATGACCGAGGACCTGTTAAGAAACACACAGGTGTCCATGAAGCTGGCCGCTTTGCGCTTTATGGACTTGCCACTGTCAGTCTATTACTCCCTTCCACAGGTAAACTGACCAGCAGCAGGGATGTTTTCTAAGCTTAATGATTCCAGGCTTATCACAAAGTCATATATATAAAACATATAAACAGTGCTGGGAAGTAACTGGATTATGTAATCAGGTTCCAAAATGTATGTACTTATAATTACATTATATTACATTTTAAAGTACTCATAATCAGACTACAGTTAGGCCTACATTTTTTTTTAAATTGATTACATGATTACACATTATTATACATTATGGTCACACGATGTGCAGGTACACAGGTATAATATTTCATATTTTGTATTAAGTGTTTTATTTTGATTGTTGTAATTGAACAAAATATTTTATGTAATGTAACATTTTTATGATTTAATTCATTATTAACTTTTCATTAAACTCACAAACCCCAGTTTGGGAAACTTTGACTTAAAGGGGTCATATGATGCTGCTAAAAAGAACATTAGAATGAATGAAATATTTGAAATATATAGTATTTATTTATTTTTATATCAGATTACAACAGATTACAGTTTGTAAGTAATCTACCCATTACTGTACGTACACACACACACACACACACACACATATATATATATATATATATACATGCATAGGATTTTGTGGACTTTTGTGGTGCATTAATGATATAGATTATAAAGTTTGTTCATGTTTTAAACATGATGTGCAGGTACTGTAAATTGTAGGTAAGCCATTTGTAGGTAGATTTCCCAAAAAGTGTAAACACTGGTGCTTGGTACTATCAACACTAAGTGCATTGTTTAAGCATGTTAACCAGCTTGACACATTAACATTGGCTCAACTGTTGGAGCGATTTTGTGGCAGACATACCTGTTTGTCCAGACAGGGGTAGTGTTCGAGAAACCTGTTTGAAAACATTATTTTTGAAGTTCTGATTGGTGGTGCCACATTTATTATGGTGCCACACAGTTATTTCAAAGTGTTACCACTTTTATATAGGTTATATTTTATATTAGGCAAAGCTGTTTATATACATCCTGGGTTGTTCCCTGTGTCTGTGCATGAATTTACCACATTTTGTCTATTATCCCTTTTCCTGTATGTCATGGTTGTTTGGTGGCATTTGAAAGTAAAGGGGGTCGCACACCGGACGAGAACTCTTTGTCTTTAAAATTCAAACACATTGTTTTCTATGAGTGTACTCACACCGGCAGTGCCGTTCGGCGTCTGTCCACGGCGCCCAGCTACGTCGTGTTGTACGAATTGTTCTAGACGAAGCGCAGCGCTTCTTGTCCGATGTGCGACCGCCTTAAAGTGTTAGTTAGCCTGTGTTTTACTCACCCTCGAGGCATCTTAGGTGTATGTGACTTTCTTCTTTCAGATGAATCCAGTCGGAGTTATATTAAAAATTGTCCTGGCTATTCCAAGCTCTATCATTGCAGTCAGCGGGTGTTGCAGTGGTACAGTCCACAAGTCGTCAAATAAAGCACGCGCATTCATAATAAAACGTGCTTCACACGGCTCCAGGGGGTGAATAAATGCCTCCTGTAGCGAACCAAGAGGAGAGACCCCAGCTTCATCACTGTGTCTGTCACGCGACTCTGTTCCCCTTTCGGGCTCTGTCTTTACATTTATTTTGAAAGATGAAGCTCGCGATTATGGTAAGGTGCGTTACATTTCTGATGAGTGCTTGCGGTGTTCGGCCAATCACAATGCACTGGGTCAGCTGGCCAATCAGAGCAGACTGCGCTTGTCGGAAGGAGGGACTTTGTAGAAAACGAAGCGTTTGTGAGAGGCGGGGCATAGAGGACCTACAATAATGTACAGTATTTGAAAAACAATGTGGTTTTTGAACATTAAAGCATGTCAACATATTCTGTTACACCAAATACACAAAATAATGATCTTTAAAAAAGCATCATATGACCCCTTTAAAACTGATTCCTTTAAAGAGATTGTTTTCCATTGCTTTTTGGTATGGCTTTCTACTGTGAAACACAAAAGCTTCTGTACCTGTATATCAAAGGAAGACACCAACCAGAAATGGTCAAGCTCTAAAAAAGACAAAAAAAAAAAACATGTAAGTAGTACTGCTGCTATATTCCAGTCAGATGCTATATATGAAGTCTTCTAAAGCAATATGTTGGATTGTGTGTCGAAAAGACCCACATTTCAGTTTGAATAATTTGCTGAAAGTCTTCTCCCGTCCTCTGCCATGGCTTTCTAATCTCACTCACAGTTTCATTATTCGGTGACATATTTCCTGAAGTGCCAAAGTAGGAAAAGCTGTGGCATGGGTAGCTGTGCTTCATGTAGCAGCTAGGATAAATAAGACGACGTTGTTTGCTAATAATAGGCAGTGTTACGTGTGTTACATGGTGTCATTTTGAGAGTTCCTCTTGGGTTTTTTTAATGGAGGACATGACTTGAGGAAAGTGTTGCTCTTTAACAATGTCTAGGTCATTCACACAGACACTAGTGGATAGTATTATGTGTCTTCTCATAAATGTTGTGCCTGCGATTAGCTTAAACTTGCTCAGTAGATCAGATCGCTCAAGCCAATCACCGTACGCCCAGCTAAATGCCAGGCTGTCAATTCCAGTCATGTAATCCCTGCTGTCACCCTGTCTTGACTGTCTCACCCTCTCCCTATCTGCAGTTCTCACTCTGATCTCTGGGCCTTGAGCTGAGCGCTTGATCCAAAGTTAAACGTTGCCCTATGTCTCTCCATTCCCTCACTGAGCAGGTGAGTCTGAGCACAGGCACCAAGAAGCTCTTTGTCGCAACTGCCTTCGGCGTGGTCTCCCTTATCTACCTCGCCCGGCGCTTCAGGAGGAGGAAGGGCAAGAAAAAAGCCAGTTCACCTGTAGAGCAGGAAACGTTCGAGTTCCTCAACACTGTCCCACTGAAAAAAGGTAAAAACACATCGCAACTCACCTTTAATCAACAAGGAGTATTATTACAGTTGAAATAATTTTATGAGAAAATGTATAGAGTGTACTACTACAGTATTCAAACGTTTGGGGTCAGTAACATTATTTAAAAAAAAAATTATACTTTAATTCATCCAGAAATAAAAACTATTTGCCCTTCAAACCAATGTGTTTATGGTTACGATAATAAATGAATATAATATAATAACTAGGCTGTCAAGCGATTTAAATGTTTAATCCAATTAATTATATGATGTGCCAATTAATTAAATTAATCGCAAATAAATCACACTGTCGCTTTGGCTGAGAAATTGCCCCCCAAAAGATCATTTAATTTTTTTTTTGTGTGTTAGATGAGAAAAGCATTGAATGGACATTACAAAAAGTAGCTTTAGAAAGAAATATTTTAATTCAACATTGCATAAATAATAGGGCTGGGTTTTGACACAAATTTCACGATTCGATTCTCATTCACAAGCTTTCGATTCGATTACCGATTCAATATAGATTATTTTGGATATATATCAGGTACAGTAACGTACATGCCAAATTTTCTCAAGGAAAAAAAATCTCAACTAGTATAAATAGAAGGCAAAAACCCATACGGGGCATATTTTTTGCCCTCATACCTCATTTTTTTATTTATTGGTATTGGTCGATATTGGATATTTAATTGTTCATGCTCATTTTCCTTAGTTTTACATTTAGGGTGCATTTGCCACTAATGCTCACCTATATTTTTATATCTTTAGAAACACTAATATTTTAATAATACTGTTAAATTTAAACAGAATGTTAATGTGTGGGCCCACTTTACTTAGCCATGTTTTCTAAGATGAGTCTCCACGCTCTTAAAATAAAGAGTTCTTTATTCTTTATTAGGACATCATCAGTGTAGATTTCATTCGAAAGCTGGAGTCCCTGCTACAGAGAGCCTATCAACTTCAGGAGGAGTTTGAGGGAGCGCTGGGAATGACAGACCCTTCAACACATCCTACTAGCGGTGAGCGTTAAACTAAAGACAATTGTGTTACATCAATAGAGCGAGTGGAAGTGAATGAATGGTCTTATGTAATAGTTATCACTGGGCTTGGCTCTGTGAACTGTAACTGTACTCTAAAAATCTACTTACAAAATACAGGTTGATGCATTGCATAAACGGTGCAACTTTTGTTGTTCAATTGATGTGTATTTTTTATTATTTAAACCATAATTTCTACTGGGTTCATATGTAAAAATAATAATAATAATCTACTAATAAACTATGTCTGTTTAAAGTTTGTAGGCAGGTTTTATACTTGCCAAGAATGAATTATGAATTGCACAGAAAAAAAAAAGAAATACAGATAAGAGACTGAAGTGTCCCAAAGATTTCTTATAACAAATAGCACATACAACAGCAACTGATTGTGGCACTAAATTAGCCATCTATATCTAGCCATCAGTGTGCATGAAGCAAATTTCATTGTCAGCATACTACGTGCACAGCCACATTTTTCTAACTGCATTTGCTATGTACAAACTTGAATTTTTGGCAACACTGGCCCGGTCCATTTTTTTCCCAGTCAAAAAATAAACATGAAAATGAACAACAGACCACTGGAGACCGCAAGAACATTAGAAGCCTGCTTGTGTAAGGAAACAAAAACTGTAAATGCACTGAATAAAAACATACTGCATTCCCAGTCTTGGTTTGAAACAACGTTAGGGTGAATAAATGATTACAAAATGTTTGTTTTTGAGTGAACTATGCCTTTTAAGTTCTAAATCGAACAAAGAACCGGACACACACAGTAGATGTGCAACTTTGCACGTTGTTTCATGCAGCTGCGCAATACTGAGGCTCAGCTCATTTTCTGTATCTAAATAAAGAAGCTGGTCATGGTCCAACGTTCTTTCCTTACAACTGTTTACGGGTCTATCTCTTACCCACTCCCAAGTGCACATGGCACTCGATTCACACCCTTCCACATGCAAACCCCATAAACACATTTGTCCTGAATCGGTTTATGCAGTCTGCTGTTTTGGAATTAGACCAGTTCGCTCACCCATGTGAGATAAGGGCACTTCAGTCTAATCTTCCCTCATTTGTGCAGACAAGCACATGGATCTTTCCGTGCGGGAGGACTTGGAGGACACCTGTCTGAGAGATTCAATCAGCATCGCCTCAACAGATTCCTTCGTCTCTGCTGCAGAGGTGAGAGGGAAGGCTTTGTGCAACCTGTGTAACATGCTGTACATCAGTCACATCTCACAGACCTTTGTTTGTTACAGGATTCAATGTTGAATATGTTTTCTTTTGGGTTATTTGGCACTCACTGTTGTCAGCGCAGGCTTCAGATCACATTTGCCTCCCATCATGTGTAGTCTACAATAATAAAATGTACCATGGTATTGGACATGTATCGTGGTTTTCTTCATGTATCATGCTAAATACAGCTTTCAAGTAATCCTTGATTTAATTTTAATTTTATGTTAACAGAATTTTCCATGGTACTGCGAGAGTGCTTTAAGGGTAATAATCCTATGTAATTTAAATCTGTCCCACATTTCATTATTTAATCACTTTGTGAGACACTGTTATCTGTGGACTAGTGATGGGAAGTTCGGATCATTTTACCGACTCGGACCTTTGAGTCTCGTTCAGCAAAATGAACGAATCTCTTTTCGAGTCATTCCGTTCATTTTAGCAAAATATAATTAAAATGTTACGTGTTACTTCCCTAACACGTCTACTACTTACGCAAACGTTGATCACACTACAAACAATACAAGACTATAATGCTATAAGAAACAGAAAAGATTAGTTCATTGCTTACCTGGGTCTTCAGTCTATGATTAGCTCTCGAGTCTTCAGATTTGAGTCTTTCGTTCATTACGTGACGGTTCCATAAGCTTTAACCTATGCAGTCTGAGCCGGAAAGAGAATTGATTAGTTCATCTCTCGAGTCTTTCGAATCGTTCGTTCATTCTTTTGTCACGTGACGTGACAGCATTGGATAGAGAAATTAGTTAATTTACAAGCTTCCTTACAAACGGGTGCATAGTTATTATTATTATTTACTCTTACAGTTACGTGATGTGTTTCTGGTCTCAAATTGTATCTTTTTACTAATTACAGTTTATAAATGTGTGAATTTCTGTCATGATGGTGCTTTTCCATAACACTGAATGTTGTAACAAAAGTAATAAAGAGTTGGTTATTATTATTAAGTCTCTTTCCGGCTCAGACTGCATAGGTTATGCTGCGTTCACGCCATATCGTAATTTCGAGATTACAACATTCTACTCTGGAATTATGCTCTGGAATTTTCTATGGCAACACTGTCAACGCCTAAACAGAGCCTGCGATGGTCAGGTGGTACAGCGGTCACGAGGTACAAGTCGTAGCTCTCAGAAAACTCCTAGTTCACAAGTTGTAATTACGAGTTCTACGAGGACGTGAACGCTTTTTACAAGTTGGAATCTCGTAATTACGGGAATTCTGATATGGCGTGAACGCACCTTTAAGCTTATGGGTCTGTCACGTGATTAACGAACGACTCAAACCCGAATACTCGAGAGATGAAGACTGCATAGTTTAGCTTATGGGTCTGTCACGTGATTAACGAACGACTCAAACCCGAATACTCGAGAGATGAAGACTGCATAGTTTAGCTTATGGGTCTGTCACGTGATTAACGAACGACTCAAACCCGAATACTCGAGAGATGAAGACTGCATAGTTTAGCTTATGGGTCTGTCACGTGATTAACGAACGACTCAAACCCGAATACTCGAGAGATGAAGACTGCATAGTTTAGCTTATGGGTCTGTCACGTGATTAACGAACGACTCAAACCCGAATACTCGAGAGATGAAGACTGCATAGTTTAGCTTATGGGTCTGTCACGTGATGAACGAACAACTCGAAAAACCCAAAGACTCGAGAGATGAAGACTGCATCGGTTAAGCTTATGGGGCTGTCACGTGATGAACGAACAACTCGAAAAACCCGAATACTCAAGAGATGAAGACTGCATCGGTTAAGCTTATGGGGCTGTCACGTGATGAACGAACGACTCGAAAAACCCGAAGACTCGAGAGATGAAGACTGCATTGGTTAAGCTTATGGGGCTGTCACTTGATGAACGAACGACTCAAACCCGAATACTCGAGAGATGAAGACTGCATAGGTTAAGCTTATGGGTCTGTCACATGATGAACGAACGACTCGATAAACCTGAAGACTCGAAACAGGTGAACTACTAGTCTAATTCCAGTACAGAACCTATAGGATGTTGCGCATGCGCGACTGAACGAATTACTCCCCGAGACGACTCAAATGAACGAATCGTTCAAGAACGACCCATCACTACTGTGGACACAAATAGGCACAAACCTATAAAGAAACAGAATGTATAAGAAATACACAAAATGTAAAACAAAATTATGGGGGAAAAAAATTCTTAAATTTCGCTAATTGTTTCAGTTATCCGAGCACAGAGAGATGATGAGTTCCCATGCAGTAGAGTCACTGTATCATCACCCCTTCTATGAGGATGCCCTGCAGATGGCTGAGGAAGGAAAGATCTCCTGCCGAGTGCTAAGGTGAGTCGAGTATGTCAGGTATTGGGGACCACAGAATACCTGATTGGCCAATCAGAATCAAGTGCTCCATATAGTTGTGTAATTAATAATGTATTAATGCAAATCACAGTAGTCAGTTGTTCAATTCATATAGTTCATCAGACTATAATATTGTTGACTAGATGCTTTTAACAAAGTTTAATCATGTTCATATTAGATATTTGAATGTGGCTCATCCAAACTGATTTAAGAGTATGAACAGATCTGTTTTATAGATCTGGGTTTGTTTGCACATATTTCTGAAAATACTACACAGAGCTGAGTTCTATTTTAAGTTGATATGTTTTATGTAGGCTGTGTTGTTCACTGGTCTTTTTTTTTGTTTGTTTTTTAAACAGAACTGAAATGCTTGAATGTCTTGGAGACACTGACTTCCTGGCAAAGCTGCACTGTATACGGCAGGCGTGTCCGGTAAAGGATTTCTTTCTTATGTCCTGATTGGGGGTTGGCGGGTGGTATTGCATTTGTTTAATTCATCATGTTAAATTGACAGTCCGTGTTAATGGTGTTGCATTGGACAGATTAAGTTGTTGTCTGTAGTCCCGTTCCAAATGGCACCATAAGCCCTCACAGTCCTCCTCAGGGTTGCAAGGTCTGCATAACAAAACCAGTCCAATTGGTACTCAAAAACCTACTTCAAGGGGATTCCACCTCGGTCAAAATCGCATTCCGAGGGGGTGGGAGTTCGCTTCAATCCGCAGATGAAAAAAACAACCCGCGGCAACAGTATAAAAGTAGCCCAATTCTGCAGGAAAACCACAGACTTGGTGACACTGGTCTTCCTCCAAGTCCACTTTTGTAATGATGCTTTAACTGTCGAGTTGAAGTCTGCTGTGCATTTAAGCATTTAGCAGATGCTTTTATTCAAAGCAACTTACAAATGAGGACAATAGAAGCAATCAAATCAACAAAAGAGCAACATTATGTAAGTGCTAAAAAGTAGTAGACAGAATAGAGAGAGCTGGTATTAGAGGGTCAAGTTATTCTTTTTTATAATAAATAAAAAGAAAACAAGTAGAATAGAAAAAGATAGAGAACGGAAGTGTTAGAGGGACAAGTTTTTTAATAAATAAAAAGAAAACAAGTAGATAAAGAAATAGAAGAGAGAGTGCAGGTGTAGATGGAAGAGATGTGTCTTTAGTCATTTCTTGAAGCTCAGATCGAGTTGGGCAGGTCATTCCAACAGCAGGGAACAGTGAATGTAAAAGTGATTTGTGCCTCTTTGGGATGGCACTATAATGCACTGTTCAATTGCAGAACGCAAGATTCTGGAGGGCATACAAGTCAGAAGTAGTGAATTTTGGTAAAGTGGTGCAGAGCCAGTGGTTGTTTTGTAGGCAAACATCAATGCCTTGAATTTTATGCGAGCGGCTGGCTATTGGTATCCAGTGCAAACTGATGAACAGAGGTGCTAAAGACTAATTTTGCAGCCGCATACTGGATTAGTTGTAGAGGTTTGATGGAACTGACTGGAAGACCTGCCAAGAGAGTGTTGCAATAGTCCAGCCTGGACAGAACAAGAGCTTGAACTAGAAGTTGTGTAGCATGTTCCGAATGAAAGGGCCTGATCTTATAATGTTGGACATGCGTATGTGGTGTCCATTGTTAAGCCTGCAAGACCGCAAATGTACATGAAGTGTGTCATTTGGAATGGGGCCTGTTTGGGAAAACTTTTAACTCTACATTGTATTTTAATTCAGGTCATCTTATGTGAAAGAGCCACTAGAGCATTTCTGGCTGACACAGGAAAGAAGATATTGTCTTCAATTATTGTCAAAGCAAGGAAGGTGAGTGTTCTTTCTCTCCTCCATGTGGTCTTACATAAAGTGTCCCCAACCCAACTGACCTATTGTGTGGTTTTCAGAGCCCAAAGAGATTTGAAGAAGTGTTTGAAGAAATGATGTTTTCTGGAGCAAACGGACCATTGGGAGAACACTGAAATGGAGCTTTCTGCAAGAGGGGTGAGACATCTCTTGTTATACAGATACAAGACTTGTCCTGGATATTAAACGGTCTTCAAGTTTTCGGTCTTGTTGTTTAAAGTTTGTGCCTTTTCTCTTCAGGTTAAACATCTGAACTTCTATGACATTGTTCTCGACTTCATCCTTATGGACTCATTTGAGGATCTTGAGAATCCACCTATCTCTATTCAAAATGTGGTCCACAATCGTTGGCTCAACAACTCTTTCAAAGAGACAGTGCGTACAGAATATAGCATTTGATCTGACCTCAACAAAATTGCATTCCGGTTACACACTGATATTTAATAAAGCTGTATTTTCCCATCATAGGCTGTTGCATCAAGTTGTTGGTCTGTTCTGAAACAGAAGAGGCAACATATGAAGGTATTGTTGAAAATGTAAACGTTTTGATTGTTGTAGAGTAGAGTAGTTTAATCTCTCCAGACAGCCAGACTTGAAAGATATAAATATTTTTTGATATTTCATTTTGTGTGTGCAGGGTCAAGATGGCTTCATTGCGCATTTCTATGCAGTGTGTGAACACACAAGTCCTGTCTTGGCCTGGGGGTTTCTAGGCCCTAAAAGTTCCCTGCATGATTTCTGCTGCTGCTTCAAGGTAAGCGGTAATTTGATGATCTCTGTATCTTCATGTCAGCCTCAGATGGCATGCATACATAAACTGACTATCACATGCAAATGTGCTATGATTACTGAAGAGGAAGAAATTTGTTAATGTGTGCCAAAGTGTTGCATGGATTTGCCAAGTGTACTGGCATTAAATCTTTGAACTATCCAAGCGTTTGTTGGAAGAAAAACATGCAATTATGAAAATTTTGTGAGTTTAATACTGGATAATGGCTGATCAGGCAAATAATGGAAAAAGGTCCTCATAGGTTTGATTGAGTGACCTATTGTTGCTCACCAGCCTTATCGTAGTAACATCATTTTCAGATTTAATTGCTCTTAAATGACTAAATTAAATGTGGTTGGTGTTGGGCTAAAGATCCCACAAGGGCTAGTGCTTGTCCATGAACTTTTGTGCAACTGAACAAGACCATGGTTTGTCCAGGGAGTGCAATCCTGATTCTGGATGGCCACTTTCCTGTAGAGTTTCCTCCAAGCCAATCCAACACACCTGCCAGGAAGTTTCCGGTAATCCTGAAAACCCAGAGTAGCTGCTTCTGTTGTGTCTAATTAGGGTTAAAGCTAAACTCTATAGGATTGGATACCCTTGGTCCAGAGCAGGGGTATCCAAACCTGTGGAGTGCCACTGTCCTGCAGAGGTTAGCTCCAACCCTAATTAACCACCCCTAAACCAACTAATCAAGGTCTTCAGACTCAATAGACACTTCCAGGCAAGTGTGTTGGAGCTGGCTGATGCTAAACTCTGTAGGATGTTAGCCCTCCAGACAGATGTTTGGGCACCCCTGGTCGGGAGGGAGTGTCCTGTGAGTCTTTAGATAAAAGTAGGGTGTCCGCTCTAGGAGGGCCAACTTCCTGCTCCAACCTACCTGACTAGAAGTTGCTAGTAACCCTGAAAAGCTTCATTCTGCTGCATTCCATTTTGAAGGTCTTGTCCCTATGCTCTATTCCCTTTGAAGGGCTTACCCTGGAGTTCCACTGTCTTGCAAAGTATACCCCAAACCCTGATTAAACTTACCTACCTATAATTTTCTAGTAACTCTGAAGACCTTGATTAGCTGTGAGTAGAGATTAAATTCTGCAGGGCCCTCCATGGCTGGATTTGAGGAACCCTGAGTAGGCCAGAATATCCAATGTCAGATTTGTTGTACGTCATTCAGGAATAAAATTGTGTCTTGTCCACAGGAACAGGTGCTGTTCTTCATGAAGGACATTTTCGATCTGGATAAAGTACGTTACTGTACTCTGGACACTCTGGCTGAGGACATCCTGCACTTGCTTCACCGACGCTCTGAACTGCTTCTTTCCTATCTGGGCACTGACATGATCCGTCACCTAAACGGCTGTAGTGGCACAACTTTGCACCTGGTACCCAGTGCTTTGCTGGAAGCACAGGTTCAGTGATCTACATCTGTCTGTCACACCCTCCACATTTTCATGGATGTTACCTACAGCTGCTGAGTCCACTGTGCATCACGACTCTTGTCTTTAAAGTCATTATTAGTGCTATGTCAATGTATTGTAAAGTTTGTCTAGTGTTTAAAATGAAGTGGGTAAGAATGGACAGAGATGTTTATTTTATATGCCTTCCATGTGGTATTCAAGTAGCTTTAATTTGATACTTTTGAGGGATGTGCACAATGAATGATCAGAATTTTTGGGTCCTTGATGTTTTGAGACTTGAAAGCTTTAACTCCGTTTTAAGTATTTTAATAGTTAAAAAAAAAGTTATGAAGAGATTTTTAAACCGAATGTCTTTATGTAGGTCACTTAAGCCTCTGAACATTTATGGCAATTAATGTTCAACACTAGCCATGAATTCAGTTTAGACAATTTTCTTCCCGACCCGACAGTTCCCACTAAATTTAGATCTTGTTTCCAGAATCTCACATTTAAATTTCCGCTACTGAAAGAGAGATAGGCTGACAAAATTGTATGTTATTTTATTCGTCTTGTCAAGAGTCTTGAATTTATTGACTTAAGACACAATTTAATATTTTATGCAACAGTACGAAAAAAAAAAAAGTGTCAGAAAATGTTGTACAAAAATTGTATTTCTTATTTTTATTAGTCTTGTCAGGATACAATGTTTAATTAACATTGACCACACAATAGGGAAAAAGTCTCGGAGGAAATAAAAATACAAATGTAGGTTGTACTAAAATAGCCTATTAGCCATTTTTGTTCGTCTTGTCAAAATAAATTCGTTTGGCATTTTTCTGTTAACAGTAGGAAAAGTGACAAATAAATACGACATCTTTCAATTAAAATTATAGGCCAAGCAAAATATAAACAAAACAGAGTTGAACGTCCTTCAAGGACAAAGCATCCACACGCAAGCTGTACCGGTGGTCAATAAGCGCAGATATGCTGTTCTAAATGGACGTCGGGAACGGGATTTATTAGGCTCCCATTTAAATTACACCAGTTACCGACCGCTACCGCGATTTTTTTCGGGAATGCAGACCTCAATAACACTGAAATAACTGAATAAAAACCTCAAAACCAATTTTAATGATTACAATTTTATTGATGATAATGGCATTTAATATTTTATGCAACAGTACCGAAAAAAAAAAAGTGTCAGAAAATGTTGTACAAAAATTGTATTTATTTTTATTAGTCTTGTCAGGATACAATGTTTAATTAACATTGACCACACAATAGGGAAAAAGTCTCGGAAAAAAATAAAATAAAATACAAATGTAGGTTGTACTAAAATAGCCTATTAGCCATTTTTGTTCGTCTTGTCAAAATAAATTTGTTTGGCATTTTTGTTAACAGTAGGAAAAGTGACAAATAAATACGACATCTTTCAATTAAAATTATAGGCCAAGCAAAATATAAACAAAACAGAGTTGAACGTCCTTCAAGGACAAAGCATCCACACGCAAGCTGTACCGGTGGTCAATAAGAATAAAGCGCAGATATGCTGTTCTAAATGGACGTCGGGAACGGGATTTGTTAGGCTCCCGTTTAAATTACACCAGTTACCGACCGCTACCGCGATTTTTTTCGGGAATGCAGACCTCAATGACACTGAAATAACTGAATAAAAACCTCAAAACCAATTTTAATGATTACAATTTTATTGATGATAATGGCAACAATCTTTAACATTTCAGACCAACAATTCTCAGCAAAAATCAAAAGTAAATTCAACAACTTTAACAGTCCATGATAGTTTTACCTCAAAGGCATGCTCCAAATTTCTCAGATAGCCTCCGTTTTTCTCTTCGTATTTAGACCCCCACGAATTCTGTTGTGAACAATTTGCTCAAAGGGAAACATCTTGCATGCATACAAAAAGATATGCAGCAATGGATAAAGACTAGGTTTAAAGAAACTCTTGTTTAACTGACAAACAGAAACCAGTCTGGCAAATGTATACTAGAAAGAAGAAGAAAAACTAAGTTCCTGGTCATGGTCCACCTGTACAGCACTGATGCACATAAAATCCCTACACTTATCAACAAAAGGCAAAGCATGTACTCAAAAACATTTCATAGAACCATTAGACAACCAATAATACAGAGACATATCAAAACTAACTGGCATCACCCTAAACTAACAGTAACATTGACTTTGCAATGACAGAACTTTGCAATGACAGATTCCTTATGATATTTTTACCTTATAATTGGAGCCCTTGAACAGTCTACGTTCAGTGGAGGGACAGACTCAAAGGATTCCTCCTTACGGACAAACTAGCTCAGGACCTGATTCTACGAACTACGCCTGCAGCATCTTCAACACTGTGAGTGAGAATGAAGGCAGCAATGTGGGACAAACATTAGCACTACAGAGGGGCAACAAAAAAGCTTGCAAACCAATGAAACATGAGCATACAATACAGTATACATCAGTTATCAGTGAGTGCATTCATAGGGCTAACTCTGGATCATTTTGCATCTGCATGCATTGTGTAACAGTAGAAGAGGACCACACTTAACACTTACCAGGAAGCTAACAAATGAGATCAATTACATTGGTTTCAATTAGTAAAAAAAATAAACCGCATAATCCTAGTTAGATGTCAACAGATGAAAAACATTTGTGAACTACAGGTCAATGCCATGCAATTTATATGGACAAAAAAAAAACCCATACTTCCAACATATCTAAATTCTGACATTTGTGGCGTACGTCAGTCTATACTACGAGAGACATCCTTCATTAAAACAGCGACACATATTGACCTCGGTTTCAAAGGTGAAAAGCATTACACTAGATCACAGGCTCAGTCGTTTTGATTTCTTAGGATACGCTTACCTGTGTTATTGCTGCAGAACGTAAGTTGCAAGGTCAGGGATGGCACTGCAAGATTAGACAATGCACTGCTCACTAATGAACAGTCAAAAATAACTTGCATGAAATTGACAGCCTCAATGACCTTAGATTACAAACAGGTCAGGCACAGATTTAGAAATGGGACATTCAAACTAATTAGCATTTGAAAGAGGCCATTTGCTGATGGTCTTTACGGGCTATGCAGTATAAACTTGGCAAATCACAAAATTGACAATTTACAGGTCTATTTAATGTTAAACCACACATTTGCAGATGGAAAAAGATGCGGTTTCTACAGACGGACTGACTTAAAACAGTGGTACAGTTCACAGTTTCATATAAGTCTGAGATACAAGTCCTAAATGACTAAAGCAGTGTCAATATGGCAACGACTCAATTTGTAAATCACACAATGCTGTTATAGCAAAAAAAACAATAGAAGTTCATTGTGAAAAAGGGTCAGGTCATTATCTTAAACATGTCAAAACAAAATTACAGCCCCGACATACTTACCCCAAAAAAGGGCAACATTAAGAGATTTAAATGCATTGCGTTTCATTCAGTCAAAGACAATGCATTGACAGCAGAAAAAAACGAATTGGCCCGCAAAGTCATGTACATTTTGTACTTACAGTGGAGAGCTCATTTCACTGGTGTTGGAGGCCAGAGTCTCCAAACACCTATAGGCCTATATTGGAGGAATGCTAACAGACAATGGGCAGACAAAAAAGTAGTCCATGTTTGCATTCTAGCTTTTTTTAATCGTATCAAAATGTCTTTAAAATGCCAGCAATATTGATATAAATATATACACAATTTATGGATTTTAGACATGTAAAATATAGGATGGGGACAAGTAATTTCGCAAGACATAACTGTTGATCAGAACACTTGACCTGCCCTGTAAAAAAAGCAACAAACTAAAATACTTGCAACATGATTGCAGTCACAATATAAAATGGAACAGTTTATGTAAAGACGCATACTTGCTTACCGCCTTCCTAATCTCGCCTGTGAGGGAGGAAATGTCTCTCATTAACAGTGCACACTACCTCAACAAACCAGGTAAAATGCAGTGTAAGAATGAGCAACACTACAGCACTGAAGAGTTATTGCATGAGTCACATACCTTGCCAACACCAAGCCACCTTGCCTTAGATAACCTGCCTACACCTACATCCACAGCAATGACCAGTAAAAAGCAGCATAAAAACAGAGCTGTCCATTTGTCAAACAAGCAATGTCAAATGATCAATGATCTCTTACTTGTGACTTTTAAGAAGACCAGGAATCAAATAAAAAATTAAGAGGAATATAGACAGTTGAAAGAAAAAATTGAGCAACATTTTTTCTTCTTGTAAATTTGCATACCACTCCCCCCACCCTTTCCCGTAACAGGAAATGAAATTTTCACAAAACATTCTCCACATTTGCACCCCACTTACCAACACAGGAGGTTTCATTGTTTTATTGCAAAACACAACAGGCATATCATTTTAGAACTGAGATGATTTACATGGAAATGACTATCATTTAGTCTCAAAACTACATGAGATACAGGAGATACAGGAGCTGGAATGACCAATATTACCCAACTAAAAACAAAACGTTCATTTACAAGAGTGGCAAAACAAAAAGGAAAAAACAAAAAATTATTATATATATTTGACTTTGGAGCTGGTCTGCGATCTAGCTTAAACACTCAAACCAATGAAATTAAGATCTTCATCATGGCGTCTGCATCCAAACATTTAACAAAGGTTTTTTCTGACAATGTAGCATTTACTTTATGTCCACTTCACATTACTGGCCCTGTGCAGAAGAAATACATAAGAAATACACAACATGTTAAGAGCAGAAACATTTATTCAACACCCTCCCCAAAAAAAAAAAAGAAAAAAAAGCTAAAAGCCTGTTTGAGGAGGAAAGAGTTTGGTTATGTTGTGTCGATGACTCATCTGGAAACCTGCTGAACCTGTGGAAGTAAATGTTAGGGGGGAAAAAAAAGTGGGGGTGGGGGACAAAAACTGTACACATGCACATCTACCAGGTGAAAAGTGCAAAAGGCAAAGAGCAGAGTGTTTTAGCGGGAGTGTACCTGCTGAGCCTGGGGTGCAGCTCCCATTGCCTGAGGAGCGCCTTGACCATAGTATGCTGCCTGTTGGCGGTAGTATTCTGCCCACGCTGCACTGTAATCTGGCTGACCTCCTGGCTGAGACGCCGTTGCTGCAGCCGCCTGAGGCGCAGCTTGACCTGAGATCAAATAAAACCCAAAGCATTACAGATGGAAGGTCAAGTAGAAAAATAATCTGGCAGTGTTGTTAAAGGGGTCATATGATGCAAGTTTTCTTTTCTCTTTGGAGTGTTACAAGCTGTTTGTGCATAGATAAGATCCCTAAAGTTGCAAAGACTAAAGTCTCAAACCCAAAGATATTCTTTATAAAAGTTAAGACCATGCCCTCCTGACTAGATCCCGACCGATATATCGTTTTGCCGATATTATCGGCCGATATATCGGTATTGGCGAATATGCCACCGATAAGACTCTTTTTTTTTTACAGTACATATAACGCAGATAAAATGCTTGAAATGGTGTAGTTACTTAGTTTGTAACTCTATTGTTTGCTACTGGCGAACTGGATGAAACGCTTTAAAGCTCAAGTCTATGGAAAACCATTGAAACTTTGAACGGCCATATCTCCGTAATGGCGTGGTGAATCCGCACCAAATTCGGGGGATCCCTTCAGCTCGAGGAACCCTCTCGAACGCGAACAGAGTGTACGTCTAGAGGCCCGCTTTCAAATGAGACCACCCCGCGTCGATAGCCCCCGGGATTCGAGAGTTACGGGTGGTTAAATTCGCAGTCCAGCGCCGACCGATCAAGCGATCCCGGGGGGCTACCGACGCACGGAGGGTGGGGTTCGAGAGGGCTTCTCGAGCTGAAGGGATCCCTGAATTTAGTGGAGATCCACCGGCGTGTTCGCGAGATAGTGACACCAGTCACCACTTTCACTTCAGTAAGGAGGTCTCTTGTTCTTTTTTTTTTTTTTACTCCCTAATATCGGTATTGGTCCCAAAAAACCCTTTTCGGTCGGGCTCTACTCCTAACGCTCAAATGTTCACGCAAAGAAAGGCGGCATAACTTTGATTCTCACTGTAGTATTGTTGCCGCCGCCGCCGCCATGTAGAAACTGTGTGTTTCATTGTGAAAGCGAAACTACATTCTTTGGCCTTCCAAAAGAGGACACAACTAGAAATCAGGGGTTAAGTACTATTTACAACACTGTTCCAGAACAGTTCAACCCAAATATTCAGATGTGTGCAGCGCATTTTATGGAGGACTGTTTCCTGAACATGGGAGAGTAGACTACAACGCTGTGTGCACAAAGGCGGTTTCTATAAAGTGGGGCAATTCCAACTTTGCAAGGACAGTCTGGCGCTTCTGACTCACAGCCTGCAAGTATGTTTTCATATTTAAAGAATTTGCCACTGATATTTCAAACGCGAGTTTTGAGCAGTGTAGAGTAGCGCTTGTTGTGTAATTTCTCCGATCACAAATGCAGACATGGTTTTATGTTTACACGGTGTGATATGCAACGCATAAAAAGACAGTATAAGTCATTATAATCAGTAATCATGTCCCCACTGGATGCAACAAATGCCTCGTTTGTAAAGGGTTTTATTGGTTTGGTCTCATCGCTCCGGGACACGGCATCACAATATGGTAAGGGGTGTAACATTTCCGTCACACGCATTGGTACACGCACGTATTCGGCCAATCACAACGCACTGGATAGCTGGCCAATCAGAGCACACCTCGCTTCTCAGAACGATAAGCTTTGTAAAAATTGACAAGTTTCAGAAAGGCGGGGCATAGAGGAGCAACAATAATGTACAGTATTTGGAAAATGTGTTTTTTGAACCTTAAACTGCATAAATGCATTGCATTACACCAAATACACCAAATAATGTTATTTTTAGCAACGTCATATGACCCCTTTAAATCACTGCTTAGTACAAGATTGATTTAAGGATAAATAACTCCATGACAATGTTTGTAAGAGGGGGAACGACCCCGGCCACACTACCTCCGAGTGGCGGGACAGAAACCCGCTACTTTACTCTAGGGCAGCCCGAGACCACAGCAGCTCTACTGCAGAGGACTGTGAAAGAGCTGCAGCTGCCCAAAACTATTAGAAATCAAAGCATCTACCATATCATACCTTGTTTCTTATAGTATTCTTCCCACGCCTTTGTGTAATCCTGCTGAGGCTGACCTTGACCTGAAGAGACGAGATTAAACGGACATTAATCAAGAGATTAAACATTACATCAATTACATTGAAAATAACGTGACTGAATTACTTATTGACAATTCAGGTAAAAACATGCAAATATACTAAAAGTCTACCACCAAATTTACTTAAAAAAAAAAAATTAACATTACAGTAAGGATTCAATTAAAACATTTACTGAAGATGTAGTTAGCACTAAAATGTTCAAGTTTCAGTAATCTTAAACTTCATATTTACAAGTACAACTGGCATTGAAACTGTAATATCAGGCACAAATTTGAAAAGGTGTACATATTTATTCATTACATACAGGGTTTGAAATGAACACCCGCCAAATGCGGGTAAAAATCAGCTGTGGCAGGTTATGCTGTCAAATCACTAGCCAATTTGGCGGGTTACTTTTCGTAAAACATGTTCACCAATTAATTTCTTGGGGAAGTTTATGTAAGCCAAATCTGCGCAGATTTAGTGAGTGTGAGTGATGTGACATATGGCCAAGTATGGTGACCCATACTCTGAATTAGTGCTCTGCATTTATCCCATCCAAAAATGCACACACACAGCAGTGAACACACACCTTTGGGTACTTTCTAACCATTAGGCCATGACTTCCCCCTTTTTTATTTTAGTGTAAAAACTGAACTCGAGACTCATCATGATATATTAAATAAGCTTAATTCCGCAGCATCTGGGCATATCTAGCTTACTTGAACATACCCAGCAATGTAGCTACTGGCCATCGGGAGCACCGGGACATTCCCATGGGCCGATCACCGAAGCAAGGGAGACCTCACATTAGGCACTGTTTTTAAATTACAGCCCACACGAAACTGCAAAAAGCAAGTACTCCAAAAGTGTGAAGCAGCGCTACCCGGTGCATCCGCCAGCCGCGCGTTAAAGCAGAGCGGGATCAGTCTCCAGTCTTTTTTTCCCTCATTTAAATAAATGTAGAATTTAGATATCTCTGTGTGTGGAACTGATAATCATTCTTTCACAATCTACTAGATACAGACTACTTCATTATAAAGAAAAATTAAATAAATATGAAAAAATATAGGCCTATGTAGATTTATAATCTATGACAAAAAATTATCAAACTAGGTTAGTGGATAATTCGGCAGCAAAAGTTATTCTAGAAAAATCAGTGCACAATAATTTTAGAAATCCAAACATTTAGTGAAAAAAAAAAAAAAAAAACTATAAAAAAATATTTTGTGGGGAACAAATAAAAGTGTTGCATTAAATATGGTAAAATGTTACACATTGCTATTTGTATTATAAAATCCATTCATTAAAAACATTCATGAATGTATTTATATACAAGTATATACTATAAAATGAAAATAATTTTTTTAATGTATAGCATATTGTTTAATAAGGCAATAAGCGCATGACGCAACCTGACGCTGTGTTTCTTCAAGTGCATCATTCTGCACACCGGATGCACACATTGTAAGCGCTTCGTGTTAAAAGCTGCAAAGCACAAAGGGAAGAGAAATTGATGCGTAGTGTATTATATCTGTGCAACAGTTATTGAGCCTTTCTTTTCACAGTTTTACATTTCAGTTACTGTGCACGTTAAAAACAATTTATAGTCTTTTCTACACCCGTGTTTTGTTCTCACAGACACCCGGTAGCAACAAAACATTAAACTCCGGCAAGAAGATAAAGTCCTTTTTGCAAAATCATAGACATGTATTTACAAATCAAGTATAATGGCAACACAGAATGATCTTGGAGAGAGCTTTACCGAGCTGACTGCTGGAACCGAACGCGACCAGGGTTTAAAGGCTGAATGAATGACTGACAGCCACAGCGGAGAAAAGAGTTTTATATTATATTTATATTTATTCATATGTAGCTCACATTAAGCTTTCGTATGGCTTCAGAAGTAACACAGAATAATTCGCACAATCGGGAAATTTTTTTATAAAATTCTCAGATTTGGATCAGCCCTCTCTGATTGATACCCGGTCCGAGAAAAATGGCACTATCGGAGCCGATACCCGATATGAATATCGGATCGGCGCATCTCTATGTGTGATATGACAACATTAAAGGTTCTGTCTGAAAACAGCCACAAGGTAAAATGCATGTAAACAAACTTTAATAGCTTATTTCTCTTTAAATGTTTCATTCTAATTAATTTTAATTCAAGTAAAATGTTAATTCAGTAAGAGCCTGATTAAAGATAAATATCAGTGTCTCTGTAATTTAGAGACACTTATAAATTAGGCGTTTTCTATTTACAAATATTAAAGTTTTTAAAAATTAAAATTGTCATCATTTCGGCAACTCAGCATCATGTCATTCCAAACCTGTATGAATTTCTTTCTTCTGTGGAACATAAAAGATATTTTGAGAAATTCAAGAAATGTTCGTCCATGCATACAGTAGAAATCAAGGTTAACCAAAATGGTTTGGTAACATTCTACAAAATATCTTTTGTGTTTTACATTAGTAAGTCACAGGTTTGGAAAGACATGAGGGTGAGGAAAGGATGACAGCATTTATTAGCAGTAAATTTCCTATGTTCTAGCACAAAATCAATGCTTATACTGTCAAGTGCATTTCTATGTGACAAATGCAGTAGGCTATTAGTTTGTCGCATTTGCTGTGAATTCAGTAATATATCATTATTTGTTTTTGTCCTCATTTATTTACTTACTCCAATTGAAGGCCCTATAACACAGCAAAACATTCACAGGGGAACTTGAGGGCCGGATAGGCTGGATTTGTCCAGGGCCTAATTTTAACGCCAGTCCAGCCCTGTACCCGTCACTATGCACTGTTCAATACCACAGTTTTCGGCTTGGTTCTGGTGGCTTGGCACAGTGTTTTTTGCGATTTGTGATTTAAAATGTGATTTTTAAAACTAAAACACACGTCTGTACATTGGAGAAAAACATGGATGATGATATGTCTACTTCAAATTTCTTTTGAGTGAAATATTACTTTTCCCTTTTTTTTTTACACAAAATAGGATGGATTGGGCATTAATGAGTGCTATAAACACATGTAATGTCTTTCATCATTTGTACTGGAAGCCTGAGGTCGCCCTCAGAGACTTCACATATGTATCTCAGAAGTAATAGAACTCATGACACTCCAGAAATCCCTAATATAAACTAAGGCATCCAGCCATCGCTGTGACTGAATAAAAAGATAGAAACGTTTTGAATTATGAATAATGAAGAAACACTTGACTGCAATAATGTATAGTTAATCTGTTCTTCAAGCCATCTCTAGTATCTTCATAAGTATATTTATAATCCATTGCTAATCGATATGACGTTATTACAGTATACAATATATTTTCTATATATCTAATTCTGTGATACGAAGTCACATCAGATCACAAAAGGAAGTATTTTGTCTGATGTTATGGAGTAAAAACACGTTATAATGTTCTCTTTTGTTGGAAAACAGGTTTAGATTGGAAACACTTATTGCAAATCATTACAAGGGAAGTTTAGCTTTAGGCATTTCAATTTAAGCACGTTAATGTCGCTAGCTAACGGTAAATGGTTAAATCGACAGCTCAAGCATTTAAGTGGCACAGAAATCTGCGTTCCGATTCAGTTTTGTACATAAGTCATAAAGGTACCGGTGCCAAATTGTCACCGGGTCTCGGTACCCAACCCTAATTCTAAACCAACCCGGGGAACTTGAGGGCCGGATAGGCTGGATTTGTCCAGGGCTTAATTTTAACGCCAGTCCAGCCCTGTCCCCGTCACTATGCAACAAATAATGGCGTGGCGGGCGCACTGGTTTCCTTTGAATTGAAGAAATAACGAAAAGTAAAAAAAAACGCTTGTCTACACCGGACGCGACAAAATACTATAGAACCCATTATAATCAGTGATGCGGCCTACACTGGATGTGGCGCAGCACAGCATGACAAATCCAGGGATGGTTCTGGGGGGGGGCAGTGCCCCCCTGCCAACAAGCTTGGCCCCCCCTAAATTTGGAATCATATCACACCAAACAATTGTGGGGGAAAAGCGCAGTTTTTGCGATTTGTGATTTAAAATGTGATTTTTAAAACTAAAACACACGTCTGTACATTGGAGAAAAACATGGATGATGATATGTCTACTTCAAATTTCTTTTGAGTGAAATATTACTTTTCCCTTTTTTTTTTACACAAAATAGGATGGATTGGGCATTAATGAGTGCTATAAACACATGTAATGTCTTTCATCATTTGTACTGGAAGCCTGAGGTCGCCCTCAGAGACTTCACATATGTATCTCAGAAGTAATAGAACTCATGACACTCCAGAAATCCCTAATATAAACTAAGGCATCCAGCCATCGCTGTGACTGAATAAAAAGATAGAAACGTTTTGAATTATGAAAAATGAAGAAACACTTGACTGCAATAATGTATAGTTAATCTGTTCTTCAAGCCATCTCTAGTATCTTCATAAGTATATTTATAATCCATTGCTAATCGATATGATGTTATTACAGTATACAATATATTTTCTATATATCTAATTCTGTGATACGAAGTCACATCAGATCACAAAAGGAAGTATTTTGTCTGATGTTATGGAGTAAAAACACGTTATAATGTTCTCTTTTGTTGGAAAACAGGTTTAGATTGGAAACACTTATTGCAAATCATTACAAGGGAACTTTAGCTTTAGGCATTTCAATTTAAGCACGTTAATGTCGCTAGCTAACGGTAAATGGTTAAATCGACAGCTCAAGCATTTAAGTGGCACAGAAATCTGCGTTCCGATTCAGTTTTGTACATAAGTCATAAAGGTACCGGTGCCAAATTGTCACCGGGTCTCGGTACCCAACCCTAATTCTAAACCAACCCTAGTTAGCACAGCTATGGGACGAGCACTTACTGGGGTCTGGCTGACCTTGCTGCCAGTGGGGGTATCCGTTGCCCCATCCTTGAGGCTGGTATGGTGCTGGAGGACCACTGAGGATAAGAATAAAATACACTAAGTTCATCTTAAGAGGAATCAATATTACCAAATACATTAATAACAGTATCATTTTGATTGTTGTTACAAGATCATCCATTTCCCCCCTAGTTAACTCTCCCTGACTTGAAGTCTGTTGGTGTCTGTTGGAGCAGTGTGAACATGAGTTATTTTTCATAAAATCCTAAATCCAGCGCCAACGTGTCTGTTGGCGTTTGTCGGCGCGGTGTGAATTGGCCTTAAGACCGCAAGTGCACATGAAGTGTTCCATTTGGGACCAGGGGCGGTTCTGGGGGGGGGCAGTGCCCCCCTGCCAACAAGCTTGGCCCCCCCTAAATTTGGAATCATATCACACCAAACAATTGTGGGTGAAATGCGCAGTTTGTCCTGTAAACTATGCATATAAAAAAAAGACATAACCAGCAGCTAAATTAAAATCTGCGTTCACTGGCTGGCACAGAGCCAGAGACACACATTTTTAAAGCACTGCACATTATAACCAATCCCATACTATTATGTTGAGTTTATGAATCAAACACTTAACATGGCTTAATGTATTAAGATAGGCCTACATTAAGTGCAATTAAAAGATCAAATTCGATATATAGTTATTATTTAATGTACTACAAGGCAAGCAGATGGCCATGAACACAATGCACAAACTTTCACTTGTCCTCACATAAAGCAAAACGCTTAATGTGGCATAATAACGGATGATAAAAACAATTTAGTAGCCTATATGTCTTGTTGTTGACTCAAAGTATATACAGACCAACGAATATGAACGTGCATTATGAAATGCATTAAGTGATTTTAAAAGGATCAACTCCGCAGGGGCGGTTCTAGGGGGTGGCCAGTGCCCCCCTGCCAACAAGCTTGGCCCCCCCTAAATTTGGAATCATATCACACCAAACAATTGTGGGTGAAATGCGCAGTTTGTCCTGTAAACTATGCATATAAAAAAAAGACATAACCAGCAGCTAAATTAAAATCTGCGTTCACTGGCTGGCACAGAGCCAGAGACACACATTTTTAAAGCACTGCACATTATAACCAATCCCATACTATTATGTTGAGTTTATGAATACAAAGACCAATCAGAGGCGTTCAGATGAGTCACCGCTGAAACACCCCGTTTCGTCACTGCACGCGCAGGCTGACTGAAATCTCTGGCTAATTATCTCATCAGAAACAACAAAGTGAAGATGTACGAATGTAAGTAAGATATTCATTTTACAGTGTAAACAGCTTTAGATTATTATGGGCAGTGGTGTGATGGCGATTTAAATAAAATACAGATTTCCAAACCTATGGGTATCCCCTTGAACTTAGTAAAAAGATAATCGGTTTACCATCTTGACATGAAAATACTGTTTTCATGGTCAGTTTTACATTTATTATTTGCTAATGTTAATGAATTTTTACATTAGCGTGCACGTCCTACTACACTGAAATTAATAGGGGAGCGGCTGGAAATAGTGACCTTTCCTGGTTAGAGATAGTATAAACATCATAAACTGAAAGCAATCTTTACGTGACTTGCTTTTCAAATGTTTTAAAATTGATCATCAGAGTCTAATATGATCCAGCGGGCTGTACTAAAAGACACTGCGGGCCGTATAGCCGCCAGTTGCCCATCCCTGATCTAGAGTGAAGGGAGGGTGACAGTTTTGTGGAGTGCAGGTAAAAAAAATAAATAAATAAATAATTTTAAATTATTTGCACCTTGTCCGTTGGTTTGGGTTGTGCCAGGGGCTGCTGAAGTTGGTGTCATGGGACCCTGGGGCTGCTGCTGGTACTGAGAATAATAGGCTGCCCATGCAGCTGCATTAGCATCAGCCGCTGCTTTATCTGCAGAACAAACAGCCCATTTTATTTTTCCTCCAACAGACAACTGAAGCTGCGCAAGTTCTAACTAGCATTGCGGAGAATCAGAATACCATTCTAAAGAGGGTTGGGTATCGTTTGGGTATTTTACAATACCGATGCCAAATCTATACTTTTAAAACGGTACCAGTGCCTTAACGGTGCCTGAACCGATACTAAAAAAAATAAAAATAAATAAGCCACAACGGAGGACATTAATTATTATTATTTGTTTTTATAATAATAATAAATCTTTAAATTAAACGATATATTAAAAGTTTGGATTATACGGAAATATATAAATATAAGTAAATACAAAACCCAACTAATTTAAATTTACAATAAAACCTAAGCCACCCGACACAACTACAATAATAAATAACAGTTACAGTAATAATAACAGAAAGGTAGACAGTATTCTTGGTAGGGATGCAATAATAGTTCTCACTGTTCAATACCACAGTTTTCGGCTTGGTTCTGGTGGCTTGGCACAGTGTTTTTTGCGATTTGTGATTTAAAATGTGATTTTTAAAACTAAAACACACGTCTGTACATTGGAGAAAAACATGGATGATGATATGTCTACCAACAATTCTGTGTTTTTCTGTCAATATGGGGTGCTGTGTGTACATTAATGAGGAAAAAAAATGTACTTAAATGATTTTAGCAAATGGCTGCAATATAACAAAGAGTGAAAAATTTAAGGGGGTCTGAATACTTTCCGTACCCACTGTATATCTGGTATACATGCAAAATTCTCAAGAATAAAAAAAAACAGAACCGGTTCCAACCAGAAAAAAAAAATCTCTCAACTAATGCTGTAAAATATACATGAGAGTCAGTTGGTACTACATTACTATAATATTGAAGGTTAAACTGACTGATTTTTTAGGCTATACAACTGCTTAAATTACACTGAAAAAAGTTTTTATAATAAAAGTTACAATTCCATAATATTTCTACTTCAATTAGTTTTTTTTAAATATAAACATTTAAATGGTGGCTATCATAAAAAAATTTAACTTTGAAGAACAGTAAAAGTTATAATGAATATATTATATGGTGCATATATTTAGCAAAATGCTCCTCTCTACAGTTTATTTTTCTATTGATTAATGAGTTTATGGTCACCGAATTTGTTTTTTTTTTCTGAGGTAATTGTGACGTTACGTGACATTGTTTACAAGACGTTATATTGACGGCTGAAACACTGATTGAGCGATTACATGAGACAGGATACGGATTGTAAAGTTGTACTCTTTTAACTTACCTTCAGATGTTTAGTCATGTTTATTTTGTGCTGAAACAGGTATTAATGTGGAGGAGATGATCAGTTCACGTGTCTCTCGTGCTGCCACTTTTATTGAACTGAGGCGCGCCGCGCTACAGCGATCACTCCACATTAAACAGTGCCAAAACTAGGGATGCAACAATATAATTTTTTCAGATCCGATAAGAAAATTCTGAGTATCGGACAATTCCGATCCGATCCCAGCACAGATTTTTTTTTATTAAATAAATATCTGTGTGTTGACCTGATCGTCACTTTGTGTTAAACACAATCTACTAAATATAGACAACTTCATTTTAATGAAAAATAACAAATGAAAAAATACATAATCTATGACAAAAATACTATTATAAACTAGGTTAGTGGATAATTTAGCCACATTACACATACATTTCTTTTCAATATATAGCACAGTAATGAAGGCAGCAACATATGATAGAGGAGTCCTATCTATCATATGTTGCAGCCTCCATTACTGTGCTATAGATTAAATTATTATTAGCCTTATAGGACAAAACAAGAAACGCTATAAATCTTTCATTGCGCATAAGTATTATATAATACGAAAAGCTCCAATAGAGCTGCACAAAGCGCTTATGCTCATACCGTGCGCAGAATGATGCGCTTGAAGAAACATGGAGTCACAGCACGCAGTTCCGCATAGAAGTTCAAAGCACAAAGAGATATTGATGCGTAGTTTATTAAATCTGTGCGATAGTATATTGAGCCTTTTCTTTTAACAGTTTTAAATCTGTTATTGTGCTGTTATCTGTCTTGGAAAGAGTTTCATCGTCTTAAGACCCTAATTTACTGTCGTAACCAACAGAAAATGTCAGTATCTGAGCCGATACCGATCCTGAGTATCGGATCGATGCATCCCTAGCCAGAACGGCATTTATTGTTTGAATACTGCAATACAATGGACAGAATTTAAAATCTGAGACTTTGTTTCATATTAAAAGTACCAACGCACAATGCTTATTGTGATTTATTGGATGGGAAGTCTCCTTCAATGTTCTGTCCATTGAAGCAGCATTATGTAACTTTTTCTGTGTTCAAAATTTGCAAAATGTATATAATGAGCGAGTACATCATGAATTCATCTTCCAAACTGCGTTTTTGTCTTATTATAATTATTATACTTATATTTGGACTATTTTAGCCTGGTCGGGACATCGCCATAGACAAACTTAGAGAAGTAGTTCCGGTTGGAATGTTCTTCCACGGGATGTGTGCAGTTCTGTTTATTAACCGCTAGAGCGCCAAAAGTTACATAGTGCTGCTTTAACTGAAAACAGGCTAGATTCATTGATTTGGATTTAAGAATCTATCGTTTCGTAAAACTGAGATTCGATTATAATCAAGACAGATATTTTTTTATCCAGCCCTACTGAAAACTACTTGGATTTTTTTTTTTTTTTTTAAGCGCATATAAATCATCTTTCTTACCTGGTTTGAACTGAATTCTCACACCAGTGTCATTCTGAATCTTCTTGATCATTTCACCACTCCTACCAATCACAATTCCCACTGCAAACCTTGGCACAGGGACCTAAAGCAACAGCAAAACATTTAGTAAACTGACTTTCAAAATTCAATCTAAATGTATAACA